AAAAAAAAAAAAAAAAAAATCACCATTAGGTGAGATTGTAGTCAGGCTTATGTCCCTTACTCTTGTCAGTTAACTGACAAAAACAGTTCCAGAACATTCCATCTCATCTGCTCATTCATCCGGATGGTTATGCATTTCCAAGTTCTCTGACATCGGAAGTGCAAGGTCCCAAGATTGATCCCTGGTACAAAAAAAAAAAAAAAAAGTTCCTGGTGGCAGCTTCAGGAATCGTCCCCTCAAACAGGCTGTATTTGTGTAGAGATATTTATTTCTTCAAATATTAGGGTAGTCTAAATGTGGGATGCTTTTGTGCCTCCCTGTAATAAACAATAAAATTAGGCATTTCACAGTAGTACGTAAAAAGGAAAAATGTTGAGTGTAGAAATGTCTTCCTGGCATGCAGATTAGCTTATTCTTAGCTGGTCACAGAATCATACTATATATTAGTTTTATTTTTCAGTTTACAAAAAAATGTACCTTTTGTTGAAGGGACACTTCTTAATTGTGGGCAGGCCAAGCAAGGACAGGAGCATAGGTCCTTGTGCAAGGGCGCCTTCTCAGACTGCCTTTCTGGCATGTCCACGGCATTGTGCTCTTCTGAACTGAGCCCCCGACAACATTTTCAAGTTTCTTTAGCACAGCAGCAGCCCTTTGTTTTGTGTTGTGCAGACAGAGCCGTTTCCCGTGCTGACCTTTCGTCTGTCCTCCCTCTCCAGCTAAAACATTCTTTTTAGGAAAAATGGGCTGACATCTTTGAGGACCTGCCAGTTTGGGTTCTTACAGTAATTTGGGCAGACACGTTGCCAGTGAGCCAATTAGTATTTTTGTCTGTCCCTTCCCTATCTCTAGCACATGCAGGAAGTACTAATATTAGTTGAGTTTTGGCACTAGTTCCCTAACATTACACTTTGTCTTTTGCAGGTACAAGACTATCATGGGCATAAAATTTGTGACCCTTACGCTTGGCTTGAAGACCCGGACAGTGAACAGACAAAGGTAAGATGAGCTTATAATTAAAGATAAGCATCCTCAGTAGCACCACACATGCGAGATGAGTGACTGTAGTTTTTTCTTCCTTCCATCACCCTGTATTTTCTGCTACGGATAGAGTGTATACTTGCTGGTATCACCTCTTTATGTCAAATGTGGAAACAAAGACAAAAGCATGTGTTGGCCTCCAAAAAAAAATTAAGTTCCTGAGTAATGTTTATGGTTTACTGACACCAAAGAACCAAGTGTTGTGTACCCTTGTCACCGTCCACACCAGCCTTCCTTGTGGAATTTAGATTTCCAGGGTTGTTCTGATTTGCCCTGCACCTGCTTAGGGGAGTGGAGATCGCCCATCTTGACCAGGAAAGGAGTAGGAAGGGCAACCAGCTTAGCTGGGGCATGGTGAGGTGTGGCAGGGGAGAAGGTGGTGGTAGGAGGATCTTTCTCCTCCTGGGGACAGTCTCGTGGCCCTCCCTTCCTCATTGCTGAGCACTGACTGACCTGCCCTCGTGTCTGCCTTCCTCACCTCAAGGAGCATCTCCTCCTTCACCCACAGTGGAAGCTTTTATGGCCTTTGTTCCTCAAGTAAGCACCACTGTTGAGGTTTCTAATGATCTGCCCTTCTAGCTATAATCCTATAGTCTCTTTTCCCTGATTGCTACCCAGAAAGACCGAGATTTCATGGATGAGAATGATTGATGTTTGGGTTCAAATTTTCTTTTAAGAAGCGTTGGTTTATAGATGTAAATGGGTAGAAACTCCAAGGGGAGGAGTGGATGGCCATCTTTGGGAGTGATAAAAGCGCTAGTTCTGTGGGCAAGACAGGAGAGGAGGAAACAGGTATGGGGTTGTCTCTTTACCCTCACAGGGTACAGATGACCGTCAGAGTCCAGCCGTGGACTGAGCAGAGACCAGGTTGCTTGTATCCTATAGTGGGAACAAGCTACCTGGAAAGAAAATGAACTTGCCTTGAATTCCTTGGAAGATTTGCGGGAGGTGTTGGGTACAACCTTGATTTCTCCAGGCTGTGCTAGTGAATGAGTGATTCAGCAGTGTCACAGTGACCCAGAGTAGGTTATGTGTTGGTGGCTGCACACTGTCCTGCTTCTTACTCGGTAAGGACAGGTCTTGGGGCTGACATGCAATTTACTAATGGATGGTTAGCTTCTAATTAGTGGATGACATTTGGTTAGTGATCTTGCAGTAGCCCTGACAGAAACTAATAACGTGGACGGGTACACTGTTTTTGTAGTACACATTTGTTATCGGATGTACATGCTCTTCTTTAATTCTCAAACTCTCAAATAGATCTTCTTTATTTTCCCACTTTACCGATGAAGACATTGAGATATGATTAACTTGCCTAGGGTCACTCATCTAGTAAGTGTGTACTCAGGAATAGAAGCCAAGTAGTCCAGAAACTTTCTAGGTTTACACTAAAGAATCAAAGTAGGCATCCGGTACAGAGGTGTGTGCTTGCCACCCTCCTGCTTGGGAGGCTCAGGTGGGTGGATTCCAAGCTCAGGACTAATCTGGGCAATTTAGTGAGACACTACCTCAAAAATAAACAAAAGAAAATAAGAACAAAAAGACTGAGTTGTAACAGTTTTGAGAATATAGACTACAACGCTTCTTCCTGTTTGTGTCTGGAGCCTGGGCCAGCCCCGAGCCCCAGGCTAATATATTGAGACAGCATGCCCTAGGTGTTGGGGTGTATAGCCTGCACCTTCCCTCTGCATTTTCATGCTACCTGTCTTTCATCCTTCTAAACAAGCTAACAGTGGGACCTATTGAAGCAGCTGGACTTGAACAGGTTAAATTTCATTTTCAGATTAACAAGTTCGGGTGGGTATTTTTTTCCTTTTTAATTTGTCGTATGCAAATAATTTCTACATAGTCACTATAAAATATATTTTTTTCAAACTAATTTTGGCAAGGGAATGCTAGGCATTGAATCAAAGGCCTGGCATGTGCTTAGCAGGTGCTCTTCCACTGAGCTATATTCTCCAAAGTATTTTTTTTTTTTTTCTTTTCTTTCTTGAGATGGGAGTCTTGATGAGTAGCTACCCTTGAACTTACTACGTAGCTGGCCTCAAACTTGTGGTCATCCTCCTGCCTCAGACTTCTCCAGGAGCTAAGATTATAGGAATATACCACCATGTCTGGCATAAGATGTATTTTTCTAATGAGCAGAAAAACTTGAAGTCATAAAAGTACATCCACAAAAGTATGTTAGCCAAACATTGGTATAAAGAGAAGAATGTCTCTGTAGCTTCCAAAACAGAAGGCTGTTGTTACATTTTCAGTATTAAGCAGTCAGAAGTGAGAAGCCCTGGTAGCTGTTTTATACTGAGTTTAGAAATGCTATCAGTAGGTCTTTGATTTAATCTAGTGTTTAATATAGCATATGCAATTTGACAGTGCCTGGTATTTCAGGCGTTGTCTTCTATAAAAGAAAATCACAACAGGCTTGTAACTTCAAAAATTCTTGACAAGATAAGCTAGAGGGAGGAAGGTTAGAACCTGGGTGAATTCTTTAAACTTACCAGGGTGCATATTTCTCTATTTATAGCAGCTATTCCAGACTATAGGTCACACACAACTGTACTGCTAACCCTGATAGGGGAATTGAGCAGGTTTTTACAAAGAAAAAGCAGTAGATCGGTTCTGCCCCATAAATACATAATGTACTTGGCAGTACGTATACTAAAATTGGAATGCTACAGAGACGGTTAGCATGACGTCTCTGTGAGGATGCTGTGCAAATTCATGCAGTGTTCCATATCGTTTTAAAAAAGGTGCATAATTCATATGTAATTTAAATTATTGTGAGCCACATTAAAAATGCAGGCAGTCAGATTAATTTGTTACTTAATTTATCGTATGGAAATAATTTCTACATAGTCAATATAAAATACTAAAAATTTTTTTCAAACTAATTTTTCAAATTTAAGGTATATTTTTCACTTATAGGTCACATAAGTGCAGATCAGCCCCTTGTCAGTATGTAGGAGCCACCGTGTGGTTAATGGCCACTGTATTGGATAATAAAGATATGGAATCTTTCTTGTAAATGTAGGTGTAAAAATATAAATAAATTTTTATATAAATAAAAATTAGACTAAATTGAATTTGCTACATGAATTGAAGAATAGTTGAATGTTAAATTATATAAAGTTGCGGCCAAGGAGATGGCTCAGTGGAATAAGTGCTTCCCTGGCAAGCACAAGGGCCTGAGTTCAATCCCTCGTTCTGCAAAAAAAAAAAAAAAAAAAAAATTATATAAAGTTACATAGCTATTCTAGTTGGTATTTAAAAAGTTAAAATTGAAAATTAAAATAAGAATAACTGGATGAAATGACAAGTGTATTTCAGTGACAACTTAAACACGAGGCCAGAATGTTCTCTGCCACTGTTATTTTTATATGTCTTACAAAGCTTTGGCTGTCCAATAAAACAAGAACCAAAATTTGGTACAGGAGAAAATAAAGTGATCATTCATTCCAGATGATATGATCATGTATCTAGAAAGCGTAAAGAAAATAACTTACTAGGATGAGTTCAGTAGAGTGGTTCGGTACAAAGTAAATATAAAGTCAGCAGTACTCATGTATATCGTCAATAATGAAAGAATGAACTCATTTAGTAGCCACAAAAAGCTACCATCCGAGAATGGAGATTTCAAGCCCACTGGTTCAATGATAATGTCACCGTCGCACAGGGGAAAGCCTAGGGCTGGGGACATACAGGGCTCAGTGGTAGAGTGCTTGAAGCTAGCATATCCAGCACTCTTAGTCCCCAGCGGCAATCTAGAAAAAGATCTGGCTTGTGACATCATTTGTAGTAGTGAAAACTGAAATAATCATTTCCAACAATAATTAAGTCATTGCATATAACTTGATGAAATACTATGAACATATTAACAAGTTACATTAGCATAAAAAAAGATGTGTATGGTAAGAACATTAACAGGAAGGTATAACATTACAGTGTTCTACATGATAACTTTAAAAAGTATCTATTGATAGCTATCCTGTTTTGGGCCTTTTTTAAAATTTTACTGTATTTTTTTTTATTGAATTTTTTTTTTTGTTTTTTGTGCTGAGGACTGAATCCAGGGCTTCCAGCTTGCTAGGCAAGTGTTGTACTGCTGAGCCAAATGCCCAGCCCCCATGATAACTATTCTGGAAGAATCAATATGGAAACACAAACAAAACACCAAAAGTTAAGTGAAGGAAAAGCTGTAGATTAAATACATTTTTGATATCTAAGTGTGATATGCTCTACCCCAGTGTCTTGGTAACTCAAACCTCCTATCTACTAATGAAGGCTCTGTTCCCATCAACATTAATGTGCATATGGCTGACTTCATAATCTTAGTTAGCATCTTAAATTTCTCTGTGGTCTGTATACTTTCTTTCCATGGCAAACATGCGAATCCCAGCCTTCATGCTTCGCCTTAACCCTTCTGTACCACTTTTCCCCTCTCAGCTACTCTCCCAGCCCCTCTAGATGTGGTCTCATTTTATATACCATCTCTTTCTCCGCCTGTCCACAGTGACTCTCTGCATTCCCTCTAGCACAGTAGCAACCTCTGCTGGTGTATAGAGGATCCTTGCATCAGGATGGTTTGACTTAGGATTTTTTTCTTCTTTGATTTTGTGATGACACAAAAGCATATGTGTTTGATGGTAGGCATCCTTGGACTTCTCAGGGCTGATGATCGCCTGAAATAGTGATGTGCAGTATGAAACTTGTCTGCGGTCCTCAAGCCACAGCTCCCAGCCAGCCACGGAAGCATGCAGTCACCAAAATTCTACAGTGTGTCTTGGTGCTAAGCTGTGACATTTGGCAGGTTAGATATATTAATTGTGATTTTCACTTAGTGTCTTTCATGCATACAAGGGCTTTGTGGGGCCCTAACGCCATTGTAAGTCAAAGTAATCTTTTTTGCAAGGTCAGCAGAGGCCCAGCTACCAAGTCTAGTAACTTTCAAGGATCAGTGTCTAGTTAACCAAGTTTGTTACCGAGTGTCTTATGTTACCAAGACACTGGAATAAAGCAATCCCAGCCTTTCCTTGACAGGGCAGATTTAAATGTTGAAGGATCATCTCTAAGAATTGTATTTCACCTAGGATTTCTTTCTATGTAGATATTTCATAATTTCACAGAGGTAGTAGAGAACAAAATTTAGGGAGATAAAGCTCTTTCTTTCTCTGGTGACCTTCCTTGCCTCTGCGGAAGTGAGCTTTTTCAAGTAGCTTGCTTGCTTATGCTCCCCCTCAGCCCTGCAGGGACTCTTGGGCCTTTGGGGCTGTTTACATCATTGTCTTCATGTAGGCAGCACCTCAGATCCTTAGGGAGTGTGGGGATCCGATCTTCTGCCCTCCTCAACTATGAGCTGTCAGTCAGCCCACCTTGCATCCTTCACTCCTCTTTCTTATCAACTCTTCTCTTCTCTAGCCGGCTTTTTGCCTCCCTCAGGTCAGGTGGAAGCAAATTCCTCACAGCCTTCATCTACCCGCCTTACTCCGCTTTATTTTGTCTGCACCCTCTTAGTTGAGTATTTCAGGGGTTGTCACTGAGTTACTGGAGAGGACAGACAGAGAAAGGAGGGAAGAAGGCGAGAGAGGGTCTGTTCTAGCCACTGGACACTTGGGGTTACGCTGTTGACTGAACGTAGACTATCAGCTCTCTGTACCTGATGACTTCACTTTTTTCCCCCTTGAGAGCTGCCTTGGGCAGAAATGACAAAAACAACAGTTTCATTTTCTTTGTGTTTCCTGAGAGAATTAGTGAAGAACTAGCCCACCCCTAGGCCAAAAAATTCTTTCATGTATAATCATTCATTCTAAAACAAGAAGGTAAAATTGCTGTTTGTTTCAGGAGGATCAAAGGGACATACATGTAGGTCTTCTTTTCTGGGACACTGTGTACTGTCCCTTCACACTCTCCCATTGACTGAGTGGTTAAAGGCAGCTTCCCTGCATCTGCTGACAGAGAACAGAAGTGCTTTGATCTTACAGGGAAAGAAACCTGGAAATTTCTCCTCTTCCTTTGTGTCCACACTGTTTCTTTCCTTGGCAGGGAAGAGTTAAATGTTAGAGGACTGAACATCTCTAGGACATTTAAATATCCTAGGATTTCTCTGGAGATACTTTATCCTTTCACCGAGGTCAGTGGAATACAGAGTTTAGGGAAATAAACACCTGTTTTCACTGGCACCCTTCCTTTTCTGTGCCAGAATCAGTGTTCTGTTTGCTTGCTTTTGATTCGGCTTTTATCCTTTCAGGTTAACCCTAGGTGTGTATTAAAGGTTTCTGCTTGGTTCTGATGCAGTCCAGACAAGGGTCTACCTGAGCCTGTGCTTTCTTTTAGCACGGGTCCGTGGCCATCTCTGAAGGAGCTCAGGTCGAGCTAGCTGGGTCACGATCACCCTGTCTGATTGCCTCTCCCCATGAGTCCACTGCCGTGTCAGGCAAGGAGAGCCAGGGTGCTGGAATCTTGCTTCCAGGCCTTCCGGAACCAGCAAGAGCTGGTCGTGAGTCTCTACACTAAGAGATGGCTGTGACTGCTTACTGTTTGAGCTGCGGAACCCTGGACATCAAAGTTATTAGAGCCTTGTTTAGGTTTATTATGTTCTTTGAAGACTTTGGAACAAAGCAGGAATCTTCGTAGATCTTTTTGTAGATCCTTATGCTACACTATGATATTTTGAGGACCAGGAAGATAGTTCAGTGGCATAAGCACCTACCTGGCAAGTGGCAAGGTCCCGAGTTTGATCCCTGGTACCAAAAAAAAAAAAAAAAAGAGAGAGAGAGACAGACAGAGAGGCAGAGATTGAGATTTTGATGCTGCTTCTGTGTTGAGGATGGAGTATTTGCCCTATAGGGCCAGGAGTCACAAAACACAAGTTGTAACCTGTGGTCTTCTATCCTCTTCTGTGCACGTAAGATGATATCTAATCTGGGAGTCATTTTCTTCATAAGAAGAATGAAACCATGAGCCTTCATTTAGCTATCAGGCATAATGACATTCATATGAGAAAATGTGTGTTAAATCCTTTTCACATGCATATCAAACAAATGAAGATGTTACTTGGTATTAAATGGATTCGAATACAGACTTTCTAAGACTATTCTTCTAGTTGCTTAGAATATTGAACTTCAAAGGCATGTCTTTTCATTTCATTCACAAAACTTAGGGGGATTTTCCTTTTGAATTCTAGGTTTTAGGTTTTATACACAAAGACAGACAGATAGACACATGCTCAGCATTGAGTTTTGAATGGAACTGTATGGCTTCATTAGGTAGTATTTAAACTAGCCCAAGGATCCCCTTCAAATTCTTGGGTGGCATCTCTTTTAATTGCTACCTTGTGAACCCAACCTGTGAAGCTGGCCTGTGAAAACACCTTTCCATCCATCCATTACTATATATCGCCATGTATTATCTCAACCTCCAGGCCTTTTTACAGGTTAGAGATCTCATTAACTCATGTGGGAATGTTTAGCCTTATTATAGTGTGTAAGCACACTCCTCATAAAACCAAGCTTGAAATATGTATCTAGGGTACAAATTTCTTTTGATGTCTGGATGGGGTAATTGTCAAAGGAATGAGGAAATGGCCTATGCCAAGTCATTCATCTCTTCTAAGCATTTCCCTTTACACCACCCACCCACCTCACCTTTTTTTTGCCTGTTGAGACAGGGTCTTGCTATGCAGCTCAGGCTGGCCTTGCGCTTACTTTGTAGCCTAGGCTGGTCTCAAACTCGCAGTGATCCTCCT